TGATTAAAATGAAATATTGGAGTGCTTGCTTTTCTGCTGGGCAAAACAGGTGGGGAGAACAGCATGTGGTCATGTAATTAAAATCTCCCATAATGCATACCCACGAGGTCACCAAGCAGCATTACTTCTGGTATGGCTTGAATTGGGAGTCCACAAGTGCAAGCTTGGTTTGTGCTCCCTATGAGAAGGGATGCTTTTGATTCCTGAATCCGAAGCTGGTGGTTGTATAAAGGACAATGCTGCTGTACCTCCATTTTGTGACAGGTTTAAGAAGTGGGCTTTGTAAAAATAAAGTCACAGTAGCCATAAATATTTCATGTAATACTGCAAAATCAAGAGTGCTCTTCACTAGTATGCATTGTCTGTCCAAAGGGCTTGAGTTAGCTCTGAGATCTCCATTTTGTTCTAATCCTTGCAGTAAATATAAAGCATATGAAACAAGTTTGAGGTCAGAAATGGGGCATTAAAAGGGGCCTATGGAAAGGAGGCATTAAATCCCATTAATACTGAGTGGGATCAAATTCTCCTACGCACATCTGAGAGTCCCAGGCTGGTATCCTGCAGGCATTCTGGTGTGTGTACTTTCATGCATGAAGTTCTCCTGAAGAAGGGGGCAAGGCACATGCATGAGATTTGAGGGATTAGCAGCAAACTTCAGGCTTTCACTTTGAACTTCCCAGTGGTTTTCTTAACCTTCTGGCTATATTTGATCATATTCAGCTTATTTATTTGTTCCTGGTGCAAAAAATATTCAAACCCATCCCTGTCTCAGTTCTATGTTGGATGTTAATTGTTACAGGCAAATAGGGTCTTGACCTGGCAAATATGCACATGCTTTGCTGTATTTGCATGATTAACTCTTTTGAAGTGAAGTAGATTGAGCCTTTGATATTGTGACTTGACAGAACTCCTTGAAGTGTGTGCACTCAGGCTGACTTACCCGTGGTGGGGGTTTAGTTCCACAGTATTCATGGGGTTCAGTTAGAGACATGGAGGGAGAGAGGATAATTGCAGGATCCAGACCTAGAGGAATTACAGGCAGCAGAAGAAAAATATTTTAATATTGATCAAATGGGAATGATTTAATACTTAAGAGGAATGATAAAATGGTTTTTAGAGCAGCATTTATTTTTTATCATTAAATTTTGGGCCATAGGATCCATTGACTCTTTTCAAAGGGTTGTGAGTGGTAGCCAAGAAAAGCAAGATTTAATTTTGTTATGTGCTGATATGCCTTTCTCCTGGAAAATTGTCAGAGGATGTCAAATTGAAAGGGTCCAGAATTGTCACAGCAGAGCAGTGCTTCCTGACCAGAAAGGTGTGAAAATGCTCTGGGTGATGCACGGGACTCAACCTGAGAAAATACACCCTGTGAGACCTGGCCAGCGCTGTGCAAGGCCCTGCAGTGCCCCTGTGCTCCTGCTTTCAAACAAGGAGAGACAAATGTGCACTCACAGCCCAGAAAGCCACCCGTATCCTGGGCTGCATCACGAGAAGCGTGGTCAGCACTCTGCTCTGGTGAGACCCCACCTGGAGCACCGTGTCCAGCTCTGAGGTCCTCAGCACAAGAGAGACATGGACCTGCTGGAGCGGATCCAGAGGAGGGCCATTAAAATGGTCGTACAGCTGGAACTCCTCTGCTATGAGGAAAGACTGAGAGAGTTGGGCTTGTTCAGCCTGGAGAAGAGAAGGCTCCAGGGAGACCTTATTGCAGCCGTTCAATATATAAAGAGGGATTTTAAGAAAGATGAAGAAAGACTTTTTAACAGGATCTGTAGTGACAGGACAAGGGACGATGGTTTTAAATTGAAAGAAGGTGCATTTAGATTAGACTTAAAAAAGAAAGCTTTTATGATGAAGGTGGTGAGACACTGGAACAGGTTGTCCAGGGAAGTTGTGGATGCCCCCTCCCTGGAAGTGTTCAGAGTCAAGTTGGATGAGGCTTTGAGCAATCTGATCTAGTGGAAGATGTCCCCACCCGTGGCAGGACGTGGTTGAACTAGGTGGTCTTTGAAGGTCCCTTCCAACCCAAACTATTCTGTGATTCTAAATGAATCAGTCTGATGTTGTTGGATTCAGCCAGTCTTATTGCTGCATTTCCAGCACCAAAACCAAGGTAAAAGTGAGCGAAGACAAAGAGGAGCCGGTGGCAGCCAGTGTTGGAGGCAGAGGGACAGCAGGAGAGGAGCCGCGGTTGGCAGGGGCTTGCTGGGGCCAGGTTTGGTCTTAGATAAGCGAGGAAAGCTGTGGGCTGGAGGTTTGACATCCTGCCTGTGTGGTAGGTTATCCCAGCAGATGGCATCCCTGCACTGTTGGAAATCCTCTGGCGTGGTGTGCTGCAGGCTGCAGGCCTTGGGTGGGACATCAGCGTGCTTTGGATATGGGGTTTTCACACTTGGTCTGTGTGCTGTGTCGGTGCTGTGGTGGGTGGTGGTGTTCAAAGCCCGTGCAGGTTCACCAAGGCTCAATTAGTGATAGGATGCGAGGGTGTGCATTTACTTTAGGTTCAGTGGTGTAATTAGACATAAATTGAGATTTATGAATAATTTACAGAGCTTGATAGAGGAGGAATGAAAATTAAGTGGGGAAAAGTTTGTATGTCTCAGTTCAGTGTTACTTTTTGAGTATGTTAAAGCTGTTTTGGCATAGTCTTGTTGATTGGCTGCTGTCTTGTAGTTATTAATTTGTTATTTATTATTGAAATTAATTAGATGTTAAACATTTTTCACAGATCTGACTTGATTTTTTTTTTCTGAAAGGAGAGTAATATTGTTTATTCTTTTGAAAAAGTACTGGTGAACTCCTCACTGCCCTTACATTTGTGCTTACACAGTATTTTTGGGAGCTCTGGTATCACATCCTGTTCAGAGTGCTACTGGGACCAAGCAAACTATAAATGTACAGCAATTCAGAAATTCCAGAATTGCTTTCCTCTCTGTTTTTGGGGTATCTGTCAAAGGGAGGATTGTCATCTTCTGGGAACATCTCTTTATTGCCATCACTTTAGTGCTTGGCTGCTGAATTGCATGTCAGATCCTGCATGCGGAGCTCCGTGTTGCTCACACTTACCTGTGCTGCTTACAGGAGACAAGTCTAAAATTCTTTTTTTTTTTTCCTTCCCCTGTCAACTCACGTTTGGTTTTGTGCTTCAGGTCTGTCTTCTCGAGCTGCTTGCCCTTTGTGACTGGACACTGAACCTGTAGTAAACGTTGTACAGCTGAAATGCAAATATTTTTTCAAATCGGCTAGCTTCGTTGATAATTACTGCAAAACACAGGGAAGCCTGAAAGCTGAGGTGGTTATTGCTCCTTATGCCTACATCTAATTTAGTAAATTAGTCGAGGCGTGTCTATTAATGTCAGGACCTGTTCTCTGACCTGGAGGGCAGCTGGCACAGCCTGGCTGCGTCCGTAACAAGGAACGTTCTTGCCATCTGCGATAGCATCGGTACCCAAACTGGCTGCTGCGTGAGCTCTGCACCAGGCTAAAGCTTGGGCTGCAGAGTGCTAGCTGCCCAGGGCCAAAACTGTGCCAGACATTGTCAGGTTCCAGTGGACACTCTAAGGTTCCTAGTAGATACTTTCAGGGTCCAGTGCCTGGGAATATCCCCTGATACTGTTTAGTTTGCTAGTACAGATGTAGTTTATGGATTCTGGGTTAATCCATAAACTTGTTTCCCTTCTACTTCTGTGTTTTTTGTTGGGTTGATTTTCTTTTATCCCTGTGTTGGTGGAAGAACTCTGCCTTCTTCCATCCCAAGATGTGGTGCTTGAGTCTCTGCATCTTTTATGTTGCAGTATTAATTAGGATTCACCAACACATGCTACAGGAGGATAAGAGCTGGACTCTAGTAGGGATCTGTGCCATAGGTGTTTGTGCTGGGTTTGTCTGGGACAGAGTTAATTTTCCTCAGAGTAGCTAGTATGGCACTATGTGTTTTGGATTTAGGATGAGAATGATGTTGATAACACACTGATGTTTTAGTTACTGCCTTAGGAAGACAAATGCTATCACTCCTAATGTCTTCCCCTTCCTCCTCCCCCCAGCTTTATATGCTGAGCATGACATCATATGGTGTGGACTACCCCTTGGGTCAGCTGGGGTCAGCTGTCCCAGCTGTGTCCCCTCCCAACTTCTTGTGCACCCCCAGCCTACTTGCTGCTGGGGTGGGGTGAGAAGCAGAAAAGACCTTGACTCTGTGTAAACCCTGCTCAGTGAAACTGAAAACATCCCTGTGTTATCAACACTGTTATTGCTTTCCTTTAATATCTTAGACCTGATTTGTCTGCAGGCTTCCTGTCTTTGTCTGCAGAAGGAATGACTCCATTCACTGTTGGCATCTTTTCCCTGCATGAGAACCTGTAGGTTGTGGCCAAGTTGTTGTTTTTTTATTTTCTTATGGATAAACTGAACAGTCAGGGGTCAGCTGAGGTCTTTGCCCTGCAGTTTCTGTATTAGGTGCTCTGCAGAGCAGCAAATGTGCCAGTTTTTTAGGCCTTAACAGCCAGAGGAGCACTGAAGCCCACCAGGGCTGACAGATGGGTCTTCTGGTTCAATGGTGAAAAGATTCAGACTGCTTTCTACATCAGGTATCTACCTGGCTGGGCTTCTCTTCCCTCCCATCTCTCAGGGCTGGGTATCGTACTGCTCATTTTAATTGAACAAGGATTTTTGCTGTCAGAGAAAAGTATCTGGAACAGTGACCTTCCCAGTATTTCATTAGTTGATGAGTCAGACAAATGGATGCTGAGTATCTGGCAATGAGCTTCAATTCCATTAGGGAGTGGATTTTAATAACAGAATTAGAAGACCAGCAACAATGCTTGGGGATTCACTGTGTAGATAACAGGCTTTTACCAGGCTATATGTAAAGCTCATTGGTAATACATGTTTTTCCACTTCAGTTTCCAGGGCTAATATTTCATCACGCTTAAACCGTTGCTTTACTGCTTATGTCTCCCCTGTAAATAAACTTACCCAGACAGCATTTTTCATTGCAGGTTTCCAAGAAATACAGCGAGATAGAGGAGCTCTACCAGAGACTGGTGGCACGATATCCACAGGCTTCTCTTCCACTCTTGCCTAGAAAACTTCTCTTCGTGGGGGAATCTGACATCTGTGAACGAAGAGCTATGTTCAATGATATAATGAAATTCATCTCAAAAGATGAGGAACTAGCAACGAGCCCTGAGTTACTGGAGTTTTTAGGTAACGAAAAGATGTGAGTGTCTGCTCTCCCATGAATGTGCTTGATAAAAGTGTTACTAGTTCTTAACTCAGGTAGTCAGAAACTAGAGAATGCCAGATTAGAACGAGTCCAGGGGAGGCCACGAGGATGATCCAAGGGCTGGAGCACCTCTCCTATGAGCACAGGCTGAGAGAGTTGGGGCTGTTCAGCCTGGAGAAAAGAAGGCTTAGGAGACATCTTATAGTGGCCTTCCAGTACCTGAAGGGGCTACAATCTGCTGGGGAGGGACTTTCAACAAGGACAGGGAGTGATAGAACAAGGGGAAATGGGTTTAAACTGAAAGAGGGGAGGTTTAGGTTAGATATTACAAAGAAATTCTTCACTGTGAGAGTGGTCAGACACTGGAACAGGTTGCCCAAGGAAGTTGTGGCTGCTCCTCCCTGGAAATGTTCAAGGCCAGGTTGGATGAGGCTTTGAGCAACCTGGTCTAGTGGAAGGTGTCCCTGCTGATGGCAGGGGAGTTGGAACTAGATGATCTTTAAGGTCCCTTCCAACCCAAACCATTCTATAGTTCTATGAAAGGCTATCACTGAAAATACCCTCTTCTGCATCTACAGTGCTTCATAGTTGTGTTTGCTAGTGTTTTCTCCTCTGTGGACACATGCCTCATTCAGAAGCATTGATACCAACAACGCTCGCTTTGAAGTTATCTGTCCCACTGCCTCTGATTTCCTTTAGGCATATGCCTCGGCTGTGATTCAGAACATGTAAGTTTAGAAGGCTAAATAATCATATATCATCAGTGGAGAGTTGGATCCTTAAAGGGCCAGTGCAGGGTCTCCTGCAGTGCACAACTGTTCTATGTTTTGTCTGTTTTTTATTCCTGATAGATTGCTGGGCTTTGCTGAAGAAGGTCCTAAAGCAAATTATTGTCCCTGAAAAAGATAAAAAGATTTTAATAAAAGACAGATTCTTTAGTTAAACTCATTCTCTGGCCTTTTTTTTAAAAAAAAAAAAAAAAATCTTCCTTAGCCTCATGTCCAGCTCTTGTTGCCTCTTCCAGTGATTCATATAGTTCCTTTCTTATGTTCCTTGGGCATAGCAGGCAGTCATCAAAGGAATGAAACAGATGGGCTCTGCTTTTAATTCAGCTGAGAGCTGCTGAGCAGGGAATACTCCAGCTTTGTGCTGTGTGGGTTTCTCAGTGCTGCATTAGTTTTAAGGAAGTGAATTTGCAAGGTGCTAGCAGGTCACCATGTGTGAACAGCAGATCTTGCAAAAGTGTCAAGTGTGGCCAGATTAGAAGCTCTGTGAGGCTGGCAGCTTCCTAAAGTCAGGGGGGGCAAAATTGCATGATATTTAGCAAAATTGCTAATAACATTTTGGATTTTGTTTTCTTTCTTCCCTGTCAACGTTCTCTTGAAAGTAGACCTCTTGCACAGAGTTCATGTTGATTAACCTTTGCATGCTGATTAACCTAACCATGGTGCATATGTCTACAGCTGAATTAGTCTGGGCTGTCTTTATACTGTGGACAGATTGGGTGCAAGTAATGTGACCTGTTCATCAAAATCTGCCTTAGAATAATGTAAGTCTTAACCTACCAGATGAGATGGAATTCAGTTTGTGCACTGCAGATCCTCAAGCTAGTTGTGTACACTTTGCTTACATATGCTGGAGACATAGTCAATATATTCAGAGGTGTTTAGGGAGTTTGTGCACTGCAGATCCTCAAGCTAGTTGTGTACGCTTTCCTTACAGATGCTGGAGACATAGTCGATATATTCAGAGGTGTTTAGGGAGAATTAATATGGTAAAACGCAGGTGGACATGGGGTTAAGATAAACAGCATCCTAATATCCACTGCCTACCCTAACCAGCCCCCTCTTGCCTATAAGGAGAGCATAAGACCACTTGCTCAGTGTAGACACCCACATTTAGTCAATGAAGTCTGCCCTGGTTGATTTGGCAGATGCAAGCAAGAAAAGCTGGGTGAGATGTGTCTCCCATGCCATGTTACTTTAACAGTCAAAAGAATGAAACCATGAATTTTATCTATCATGGTTTTCACTAGCCTATCTTTAGGTAGTGTCATTATTTTATATCACTTTCCCAAACATTCAGTGACTCCACAGCAAGGAATAGTTCTTCCCTCAATTCTCCTGGGCTTTGCATATAGCCAGTAGGGTGAGAAGAGCTGGTCAAAAGAGCATGCTTCAGTTTGCTGAATTTGCTCAGTTGGATGGATCTTGCATAGTGAAGGGAGGTAGAACTTCAGGCTTCCTTTTTGAGGTTAAATTGAAGAGCTGCTGTGGAAACTTTTTCATGCTGTCCAGCACTCTAATTTTATCCCAGATGAATTATCTTAGTAACAAAAAGTGGACTTTATCTCAACTAGCTATGTGAAAGTTAGCTACCTACATCTAAGCAGAGTATTTATGGCCTCTCTGTAGCCAGTGGAGAGAAACAGGCACTTCAGAGGGATACTCCTTCTCAGACAACTTTATTTGGATGGGATGAATCACCACGTGGAAATGCCATTGTTTCTATTGACTATAGAAGGAACATAAATAAGCAGATTCGACATATGCTGCTGTATCTCAGATAAGTTCATTTCCTCTATCTTTCTCTACTTAACTACTTTAAATCGGTAAACAGATCAGACACAAAATGACACATCAGTGGATAAAAGGGACAATCTGTAATGTTGAAAGAGTTTCACAAAAGCTGATTGTGTCCTTCATTCCCCAAACAAAACCATCAGGAACAGGTGCAAGGTATTAAATAAAACACAGTTGTTATCCTGCGTACTCAGTTTTGCATCCATTATTGTATTTTGCAGGAACAAAATCTACTAGTGCCATTGACTTCAAGGGTAAAAACATTCCTGATGACAAGGAGAAAGAAGATGAAGAAAATGAGGCATTTGATTTTTTCAAAGAGGAGAAGACTCCTGACTTAATCTCACAGCTTTCATCAGTGGAAAATGTGAAAAAAGAAGAGGAAGAGGAGGAAGGAGATTTAGACCCTCTTGGTATAATTAGGTATGGCTGGTAGTCCCTTTGCTGTTTAGTTTTCAGTGTAGTTTTCTGAACAGATAAGGCTGTTCTATGTCACTGTCCCCTCATCCCAACATTTTATAACATTGACCACTTTCAGCTGAATTTCACAGAGGAAGAAAGGCCTCTGCAGTTCATGAAGGAGGTGCCATGGTAGAGGGAAGAGATTTTATAGTGCCTCTTTATTGCATTCCTCGGGACATTCAAGTGTCAGAGGGACATTGTGAATGCCTTGATAACAGTTTCAGCTACAGTAGGCACTTTCCTGGACACTGCAGGGTCCCACCACAAAACATAAAGCCACCAGGGCCCATTGGATGAGCCACTGTGGGGTACATTGGTATTTACAGTGTCTGGAAGTGCTTCTGAGCTCACTTGTGTCTACAAGGAGGTGAAGTTACAGCACTGTAAAGACCAGAAGAGCAAACGTTTCAATCATGATGTTCACAAATAGGCTTTTCTTTCCTTCTTCACTTATCTGAAGGTGTCACATGCTAAATGTCACTAAGGCATAAACAATAACAGCTTGAGAAACAATAATTGAATCAGAGCTTGCTGATGTTAGTATCTGGGCTTGCTTACCTGTCCAATAATTTTCAGACAGTTATTTTCTTCACTCCAAGATAGAATTTCTCACTTAAATTCACAAAAACATTTCTAACTACTGAAGCCTGGAAGCAAATTTAGTTTCTCAGTGGCTGGGATCATGAGTAGTGACTACTTCTTTTAGGATGTCCGAGGCTTTAGATGCACAAGTAGAAAAGGCTTTGCTGTTCTTGATCTTCAGTAAGCACTGACTGACTCAACTGAGTTGTTTCAGCCATCCACAGTCACCAACCAATACTGAATGTTCTTTGTCTTGGGACCAGACAGTGCTTTCAAAATGCTTCTTCATAGCAGTAGGCAGTACCTGATAGTAACAAGCCAGAGCCCTCTCTTGGTGTTTTCCAATTACCTTGAATAGTTTCCAAGAGGATCTAAGGTGGAGTCTCCCACCCTAAGTCAGGTCAACTACAATGACTGATTCTGGAAGCACCATTTGAACTTTGCTCCTGCTATTATAATCATATGTAATTGTTGATGTCCAGATATTGTCCTTTTTACTTGAAATATTTAATCCTTTACATATCACTAGAAAACTTTAAATATTATTCTTTTGATAAAGCACACACTTAATTACTCAGCATCAAAATTAGTCTTTTGTTGAAGAAGAGTTTAAAAAAAGTTAAGTAACTGTTTACAATGAGAAGTCAGATAAAGCAGTACTTCCCACAAAATGGTTGCTAGCTGGTAAATTTACAAAAGAAGCTGTCCTTTTTTGGATAGGAAAATGATCTATTGGGTTAGCAAATGCAGGGTTTTATTTTCCGACTTTAAACAAGTATAAGCTGTAAAGAACTTGCTGTGCCAAACAAAACAAGCAAAAAGTTTGCTTTTCTGCTCTGCACAGTTTGACAGTCTTGATTATTTTGGTCTTTTAATGCATTGGAGGATCATGAGATCTGATATTTAATCTTCATTTAGTTTACTGCTCCCATTCCTTTCAATAATAGAATTCTTACTGAATCAGAGTAACTTCATTTATATAAGAAGTGTTGTCTTTAGTGATCTAGAGCTGCAGAATGACATGTTATGCAGTCTGACGTTTTTCACTCTAAACTAGTGATGCCTTAATATCCATAAAAAAAAATCTCCATATGTATTTATTATTTTTATAATGCACATTTGTGCATGTAAACATGTACACTGAACAGGTACAGTGTTGAGGCAGAAACGTGAAGGTGGAAATGAAATCCTGAATCTGATTTTATATTGTCTGTATTCCCTGTAACTCACCCTGCTTCCATGGAAGATGTTTTCAATTGACATCAGTGGAGATCGGATCGGACATAAGCATTGTATCCCAGCTTTATTCCATTTAGTGACAGGTGTAGGTAGGAGGCCAAAGGCAGGAGCTGAGCTCTCAGTGGTTGGGTATTTCTTGGGTGACTGTTTTAGGGTGTCTTCTATGCCCATTAAAATGTTAGGTGCTTACATGCTGTAAAGAGGGAGCTTGCAGGCCTCACAGTTTTAGTGCTTCACATGTCCTTAAAGTTACTTTGAGATGGGGATGAATCATAGAATCATAGAATGGTTTGGGTTGGAAGGGACATTAAAGATCATCCAGTTCCAACTCCCCTGCCATCAGCAGGGACACCTTCCACTAGATCAGGTTGCTCAAAGCCTCATCCAGCCTGGCCTTGAACACTTCCAGGGAGGGGGCATCTACAGCTTCTCTGGGCAACCTGTTCCAGTGTCTGACCACCCTCACAGCGAAGAATTTCTTCTTCATATCTAATCTAAACCTCCCCTCTTCCAGTTTAGAGCCATTTCCCCTTGTTCTATCATTAACTGCCCTTATAAAAAGTCCCTCCCCAGCTCTCTTGTAGCCCTTTCAGGTACTGGGAGGCCTCTGTAAGATCTCCCCAGAGCCTTCTCCAGGCTGAACAGCCCCAACTCTCTCAGCCTGTCCTCATAGGAGAGGTGCTTCAGCCCTTGGATCATCCTCGTGGCCTCTTCTGGACTCATTCTAACAGGTCCATGTCTTTCTTGTGTTGGGGGCTCCAGAACTGGACACAGCACTCCAGGTGGGGCCTTACAAGAGCGGAGTACAGGGGAAGAATCAGCTCCCTTGACCTGCTGGCCACGCTTCTCTTGATGCAGCCCAGGACATGGTTGGCCTGAATAAAAACGAATAATAAAAATGAATAAAAAAGGAGGTGATGCAGACCAGATGAATTTGTTAAATAGTAAACTGCTCCCTGATGCATAGTAAATTCATGTTAAAAAAACCCCAAACAAATTCATTATTCTTTCCCCTGTGAAAAATGTTTGAAAAGATGTAAAGTCAGCACTGAAACAAGCCAGTCCATTCCATGCAGTATCGGTGGCCAGGGTGCTTTGAGCAGCAGATCTCTGACCTAAATTGAATCATGTGTTTGGCATAATCTTACAGGTTTTTTTCATTCTGGATGAGGATGAAACTGCTCCAGTAGCACAGGCCTCCATATGTTGTCAGCATGCTTCATTTGGTAACAACTTTTCCTCCTGGGCCAGAAAGCTGTGACTTGGATTTGGCCCAGCACTGCTGCTGCGCTGCTAAAAACCACCAGATACCCAGTCAATTGTACTGGCCTTAGGGGTAAAATGCTAAACTAGGGTCTTTTTTTGGGTTTTGTATTGCTGATGATCATCCAGGTGGAAGCCCATAATGATCTGGTTCCTTTTTGCCTGGAGGAGACATCCTAGTTCTCTTCCTTGCATTCAAGGCTGGGTCTGAGTTGCTCTTTCATGTCTGATGGGCAACTCACTTGCCAGTTCTGATCTTCAGCTTTTGTGGGTGTAATGATGGTTTACAAACTTTATGTTTCTCTGCTGTATGATTCTCATGCCCAAAAGCTTGCTTTCTGTGTTTGCAGAGCAATCTTGGGCCATGTCTGGGATTCTTAAGAACAGAAAGACTGTTGTTTTGTTTTGTTTTTTCTTGTCCAAATCAGGGACATTTCAAAAACCATAATACATATTTCTGATGAAGTTTTAAGCTTTTAACACCCCTCCTCCTACTTTTTTTTTTTTTCCTCCCCAGGCCTCATTCTTCCTATAATAAGAGGTGCTCAAAAGTAGGTTACGTTTGTGGAGTACATTGTTGAAATTAATTTGAAGTATGTTTTTGAGGGGTGTATCTTCTCTTCTTTTCCCACTGCCCTTCTTGATTGTTTGGAGTATTGCCACCAGTGTATTGCCACCAGTCACTCTTCAAGTTTTCCTGGACATTTGTAGAAATCTTTTCAGCTTAGGACAGAATGTACAAGTCCTGTAAGAACAAGCACTCCTAATACTGAGTAAGATGGTCCTTTGACATCAGCAGTGCAGCTGATGTAAAAGAGTTAGCATCTCTTTTTCTTTTTTTTTTCCTGAAAAGCCACAATCAGTTAGAATATCCTTTTGTTAAAATGTTTTAATTCCTTTATAAGTGGGAAATCAGATATGTATTTTACTCCACATTGTAGGGACAACATTAGATACATTGACTTATCTTTGTCTCTGTTATTCTCCTTGAAATGAGCGCAATACCACTCTTTATCATTCTTCTCTCAGTCCATCTATCCCAACATTTGTAGAAACATATATTTAAGTGTTCAGGAGGCTACCATGGCGCTTTGACAATATACTTGGGTTTTTAGAGGTGCAGTATCTTTTAACGCTACTGTCTTTTAAAGGATTTTCCTGGTAAATTATAAAATATTACTGTGTGGCTAGTCACAATTGCAGGGGTTTCTCCAACTGGAATGCCCTCAGGAATGAAAGAAGCAAGAATACTAGATCCAAAAGAGGCGAATTCTGTGACGGGAAAGGCATGGAAGACAGCCACAAGGTGGAGAAGCTCTTCACCTGCAGCTGGGGTATTGTTGATGATACTGCTGAGAATTCTGCAATGGAAAAAGGTGTAATTTGCCAATGGTTTCGGAACAGATTTGCATGGAGTGAAGAGAGATGTGTGAAGCAGGAATCCTGAGCAGCATCAGTGCCAGGACATGTTGGCTGAGGCTGACTGGGCAGTGCCTGGCTGGGTCTATACCATTGTCTTCCATATTATGTTTGCTACGTCCAGACTGTCCACTGGAAATGCCTGCTGGTCTGTGCTGCCTCCTGGGCAGTGAGTACGATGGTTTATGAGAAGGCAAGTTCTCCCATGCCAGGCGAGCACCAAGGGCTGTCCTAACAGTTGAATTGCTGAAGGGAGCTCCTGTGCTCATGCCCAGGGTGTGAAGAGGTTGCTTAAAAACAAAAAAATAGCATGGCCCTGAGCAACTCTGCCCACAGGGGTTGGCGTTCTGCCTGCTGTTCTGCCTGCTGTCGTGTTTCTCTCAGTCTTCCCTGAGGGCTCCTGAGGGTTTTGCTTTCTGTAGGGAATTCAGGCGGGCAGCTGTGGATTTTTTTACTTGATCCAGGCAAGAT